GAGTTTCTTTAAAGCCACAAGGACTATCTATGGGGCAATAAATCATGGCATATGCCCCCTACACTTAAGAGACGGTACCACACTTCTAAAAGATAAAGAAGCTATTGCATTGCGCTGGAAAGAACATTACCAGCATCTCCTTAACCGCAACTCACCCATAGTTGCTGAGGGCCTCTCACATATTCCACAGAAACAAATTAGAGATGAGCTTGCAGTATCTCCAAATCTAGGAGAGTTGTGTACAGCTATTAACCAAATGAATAACAACAAAGCCAGCGGACCTGATGGGATATCTGCTGAAGTCTTCCAAGTGGGTGGAATTGAACTTAAACAACAGCTTCACAAACTCATCGAAAATTTCTGGGGGAGAAAGGAGATCCCAGCAGACTTTGGGGATGCCAAAATTATCAATCTCTTTTTAAAAAGGTGATAGAACGGATTGCAGAACCTATCAAGGCATCTCTTTATTAGCTGCGGACGGCAAAATTCTTGGAAGGATCTTAGCAAACCGTCTCCTAACAATATCCGAGGCTACCCTTCCTGAATCCCAAAATGGTTTTCTACCTTCTAGGGAGACAGTGGACATGATTTTCACCACTCAACAGCTTCAAGAAAAATGCAGAGAGCAGAAACTACCCTTGTATATGGCGCTTATTGACCTAAGGCCTTCAACACTGTAAATCATAACACCCTGTGGACTGTCCTTCTTAAAATTGGCTGACCCAGATTAATTTATGAACATCCTTCAGCTCCTCCATGATCATATGACAGCAACAATCGCAGATAACAATGGCTCTCAAAGTGAACCATTCACAGTGGGATCAGGTATTAAATAGGGTTGTGTTAATCTATTATTTTCACTGCCATGATCCTACACTTTGTCAAAGGGAAACTCCCCACCAGAGTAGAAATCATATATCGAACAGATGGAAAGCTCTTTAATCTGAGTAGGCTGAAAGCAAAGAGCAAGGTTATCGTAACTTCCGTCATAGAGCTTCAGTATGCTGATGACAACATAGTGTTTGCACACTCAGAGGATGACCTCCAAACCATCCTAAATATCTTCACAGAAGCTTACGAAAAGTTTGGCCTATCACTCAACATCCAAAACCCCCAAAGTGCTGCACTTTGAGGTTTAAAGAATCTCTCAAGGCAAATCTTTAAAAATGTAGTATAAACACCAACAATTGGGAAACACTGGCCTGCGAGCGCACCAATTGGAGAACAGCCCTTACCAAAGGTGTCATGGACTTTGAAGACGCTTGAACTCAGGATAAAAGGGAGAAACAAGCTAAAAGAAAAGGCACGTTTGGCAAACCATCACCGTGATCAACTCCTGCCCGGAAACCTATGTCCCCACTGTGGAAGGGTGCGCGGATCCAGCACTGGACTCCACACTCATCTACGGACTCACTGTTAAGACCGTGTTCATGGAAGATAATCTTACTCGGCTATGAGTGATTGCCAAAGAAGAAAGAAGACATTTTAAACATATTTAAAGGACATGGCTTTCTCAAAAGGATCCTGGGGACTGTAGTTTGTTAAAGATCCTGGGAATTGTAACTCTTTCAGGGGCAAACTACAGTTCACAGGATTATTTGGGGGAAGCCTTAACTGCTAATATGGTATAAATGTCCTTTGAAAGGATGGTTTAGATGTGACTGATACCTTCCTAGACAAAAGCTGAGGAGGAATGAAAATTCTTCACACTTTGTTGGCAGGGAGATACATGTGTGGGCACATTTTGCTGAATATTCTTGGGGGAGATATGATGAAATTCTTTTCTGAGAAATTGCAGCTCAGTTGCTGTCAAGATGGAGGGGACTAGAAGGGGCCAAGCCCATAATCTCCTTTATCAATGGTCACATCCACACCATACAGTTAAAGCACATTTATATCATTTTAACAGCTCCCAGGATTCTCTGTGGGAAGCTGTGTGGTGTGGATGTGACCAATATTAAAATAATAGTAAACAATATTTAAACTGGATTGATGGCTGTGTTAAAAATTCGCAGCCAGGGAAACTTGGAGGCCATTTTGCTGATTATTTCCCAGAGGAAGGACTAAAATTCTCTAGCAGTTAAGACAGAGCTAAAACAAAACAAAACAAGAGCCAGAAAATTATTCTGTGAGAAATGTTGGCTTTGCCCTACCCTAGACATTATTCTGGTGATGAGCGCTAGGAGGCAACTGCCTGACCTGCATGTGCCAGAGCCTTGTGTTTGCTTTTTAAGGCTGAGTCAGTGGTGGTTAAAGAAAAACAAGTGGGGCCCTGCAATGAAACATTTTGTGTGTGTCCTGGGAGCCTTTAAAGCTCTTCCTTCTCAGGGATGAGGCTGCCCAGAGTAGGAGAGCATCCCCACCTGAGAAGAGGGAGCTTTGAAGGTGTGGACTGGGCCAGCTGCCAGTCATCCAACCCTGTGCCTTCACAAGCTAGTCCCTTCCTCGTCCTCTAAGCTTCCTCCACTCCATCCCTCTCTATCTTGCACCACATTCAGCCAGGAACTGCTTTTGGAAGCCTTCCAAACAAGCCCTGGAGCCAATTTTGTTTAATGGCAATGGATCCAGGTGTGTCAGGCACCTGCTACATGCATGCATAGTTGCTTTTTAGCATTATTTATGTGTGTTGGGGGGGGAGAAGTCCTTTGGTTTCCCCCCTACCATATTTCTTTTTGGGCTGACTGCAAACCTCTAGGCTTGATCAAGCCTACTGATACACCCACCTTGCACACGAATGGTGCCATTTTTGCAAAAAACAAAAACAAAACATCATCAGTACTTTGGTCTGAGCATAAGAAACAGAGGAAGTTATTGTGTGTATGGTGTTTGTGTGGTTGTTATTGAATGGTATGAGGGCTGGGAGGGGGGCCAGAAGCAAGACTATCATATTGGTTCCTCTCTGTTTGTACCTGACCTTTCCTTCAATGAACTATGGGGTGGCTGAAACAGGGCTCTGCTCTTTTTAATCCTTGCAAAATCTACTCAAGGTTAGTAAGTGCTTAGGCTGAGAGACTACCGTACTCAAGGCCACCCAGGAAAACTATGTGGTCTCTCCAGACCATGACCAACACTAGCGGCTTCAACTGTTTTAGGGTTTTCAAGATGCTGTATATCACCCCGAGTGTGGCTTTAGAAAGTTGTAACTTATTATCGCATAAAAATACTAACATCTACACCATTCTGGCTTTCATGAATCTGCACCCCCCCCCCAGGGTACACAGTAATGGCACCTCTCTCTTTTGCTTACTATAACAACTTCATGGTGAGTACTTGCACCTATTACCCCACCCTTATGTTTTTTGCCTATACTTGGCCAAAGCAATAGCGGTAAGTCATTTCATATTTCCCAGATTGCCCAAAGCTGAGTAACTCCACTGCACTGTGGGAAATATATAAGTGGTATCCCAACTGTCCACTGCCGCAATGAGGGTCGGCATTTAAAATTTCTCACACTACCCCATGATGCCTGATGTAGCATCCCCAAACTCGGCCCTCCAACTGTTTTGGGACTACAACTCCCATCATCCCTAGCTAACAGGACCAGCTGGAGGCTGCTTTAGGCACTCTAGGAAATGTAGAAAGGGGACAGAGAGGTGCCTAGTCTGGGGAGCTTCTCAGGGCACCATCGGCTAGGACAACCACAACTGCCCAGTGTTGCAAGTTACAAATGCTAAATGCTAAAAATTATCCACTGACTTTACATTGTACAGCATGTAGTCATTTGTTCTGCATCAGTCTGTTCTATAGTAGCTACTGATGTGATTTGCATTGTTTTATTATTATTATTATTATTATTATTATTATTATTAATTAAATTTATATACCACCCTTTATCTGCAGATATCTAGGCGGTCGGTTCATATTGTAAATTGACAGTTCCCTTAATTTTAACCCCAATAATGTTGAACACAACATATAATCAGTTACATCAGTTAATCTCACAAAAAATATGGTTGGTCTTAATATGGAATAGTTGAAATGTGGTTGGTTGGCAGGGGAAGGGAGGAAAAGTTCACTGTTCACCAGATATATGCGCATTCACATGTGCTTTTTAAAACAGGCACCCCAGAATACAAAGCAAAATAGTGGTAGTGACTCAAGAACTTCCCGAAAAATAGGGAGCAAGACTGAGAAAAAGGACAGTTGGAGTAATACACATTCACCCCTTTTACCTCAATAGAAAGACTTGTGATCCAGCCTACAAAGTACCACAGTGAAGTGAAGAGAGCAAATGCAGCAGAACTGGGCTAGTAAACACCACCAGATGACTCAAGCCAGCCAGCCAAGGCACACCCTACTTATTATTGTTATTTTTTTCCATTTATAAATTGCTTCCTATGAAACACCTCAAAATGATTTAACAATGAAAAGCAATTTAACAATCAGCAATAAAAACATATATAAAACTATGTTGGCATATATAAAAACAACTTCAAATCCAATACAGATACAAATAATAATAATAATAATAATAATAATAATAATAATAATAATAATAGACCTCCACATAAAAAGGCATGTTTGAAAAGGAAAGTCTTCTATAGCTGCCAAAGAGACGATAGAGACAGCACCTCTCTGATACATTAGCAGGAGAGAACTCCAAAGGCTGGGTGCCACCACACTAAAGGCCTGGTTTCTGCATTGTATGGAACAGACCTCCTGATGAGGTGGTATCTGCAGGGGCTTCTTCTGCAGAATACAGTGATCAATTGGGAGATGACCTTCTGTTTGGTTGTAAGTCGCTTTGGGTTGCCCTAGTGACTAACTAGTAGTAGTAGTAGTAGTAGTAGTAGTAGTAGTAATAGGCATCTTTGTCCCAAATTATATAGGACTTTGTACACCAACCTTGAATCTGGCACCTTGAACTTTGCATATGCATGCTGTTTGTTAGTTTGTTTAGCCAAACTAAGAAAACCAAACCCGTATTCAGCTCCACTTATTGCAGCAGGAGGACCATTTGCAGAGAGACCTGAGCCTACAAAGGAACCAAATCTGTTTACCTTGGATCTGACTCTGTGCTTGTGTCCCAAAGTGTCCAGGAGCAGTCAAGGATCCTCGGGGGTTGGGGGTGGTGGGAGTGATCCTCATTGGGTGCCGCAACCTCTCCAGCTCCCCAAAGCGATCCCCATAGGTTTTGGTTTGCTCTTCAAGCTTCTGTCGATGCCCTGGAACAGCAAGGAAAGCCAACAAGTACATTCAGTACAGAATCAATTGGGGCCAGCAGGCCCATCCAAAGATGAGTCTAGACTAGAGATGGAGAGCCTGCGGCTCTCAAGATGTTGCTGGACTACAGCTGCCACAATCCTGATCACTGACCATGCTGATTGTGGCTGATGGGAGTTGGAGTCCCAACAACATCTGGAGCGCTGCAGGTTTCCCATTCCTCATAAGGATAATGGACATTTTGTTGCAGGTCTCAGTTTATCCAGTTTATATTTACAGACATGTTGCTTATGCTGGAACAGTCTTTGCCAACAGGGAGCCCTCCAGGTATTTCGGATGACAACTCCAGCTGGCTGAAAGGAATTGCAATCCATAGCATCTGGAGGGCACCAGGTTGGCAAAGACCATGCTAGAATATTCTGGGCAGCAATCAGCATAATGATTATCCCTTTTGCCCCCTGCCTCCAGGATGTGACCAATTCAGAGCATGGTGGGGGAACAAAATGCAACCAGAAACAACATGCTACTGAATTTGCCCTCTTCGTGTCCACAAGGATGTATTAAACTATAAACGAAAGCTATTTTGCATTTGGCACACCATGACATCATGACATGAACACGTTGGGTCCCCAGCCCGCTTGCCCAATAAGAAGATCTGTATCACTACATCAAACACATGAAATGTTTTCCATATGGAAGGAGAGATGTGAATCTGATACTGCAGGCAGTAATAAAAAGCACGCTGGTAGTTTGGGGCGTTTTGGCGCAAGGCGGAGATGCTGAAAAATGCAGCATGGAATGCTGGAAACGTATCCCTTAAAGGAGAGGTTGAAAGCTGCTCTTTCTGTGCTCAAATCCCCACCCTACCCCCGCTCTGATGAAGAGAAGCATTTGCTTTGCAGTAATAAATAAATAAAAGCAAAAAAACCCACAGCATTTGGGTGCAAACCTCTTAGTTGAAATGGAGGGAAATGACAAAAGCTCTGGGCAGCTGGGCAAACATGGTAAATGTTGCGATCCAACATGATGTGGAAGGCACCACATTGGCTATTCCTGCATTTAGTGAAGATGATAGGTCTCCCAGGGTAGGGTTGCAAATTGGGCAGAAAAGAACTGGCTTTCTTAAACCTCCGGGAAAGTTGTGGTGTTTTCATAAAAGCCAGAACAATGCAAAGTTAAAACCGTCATACAGCATACAAGTACATTCAGCATTAAGTTATACAGCTGGTGTCCTTTATCCTTTTTTGCTTTATATATTTTTTTCTTTTCGAAAATCACCTGGACGCTTTGTGGAAGGGCAAAGTCTTTTAAGTTCAACCAGTCAGCCAGCCAACCAACCAACCAACCAACCAACCAACCCAAAGTGGCTGTTGCTTCCTGTAATGCACATGCCTTATAATGGCCTGTTTGACATTCTTTGCTTCCATTTTAAATGTGCAAAATTTAGAAGAGTTTATTTATCTTTCTTAGGCAGTGGAGGATCCCTGTCACTCTGACAACAAGGCCTGGATTCCTTTTCCTCCTTCACCTTTTGTAGCCAGCAGTTGCCCATTCATCCTTAACTGCTTTAGGGAAGTTTCATAATTTCTCACAAATAACTTTAGAGGGCGGAGAGGTATGAAGTACGCTATGGATGGAGAATTTCCGTATGTTGTTGGGCTAGAGTGGCAGAGTGTTTGTCACTCGCAGTCGCTGCTTGGAAAGAGCAGGGCTGCTGCTGCTGCTACTGTTTATTCCTCTCTGGCCTCTTCTCCTCTGCTGCCTTGAGCATTCCTGGGCTTCCCTGCGTTGCCTCCAGTTGCCACAGCAGGGGAAGTGGAGTGGGGCCCCAACCACTTTTTGTTTTGCCTCAAGCAGCAAAATGTCCTGGGCTGGCCCTGATATGCTTGATGTGAACGTTTCTTACGCCATTGGTCACACTGAGCCATTCCTTTGGTTTCCTCTTGCTTTCTTAAGATACTGACCCTATTGACTTTTCCTGCCCTTGAAGCAAAGAAAAAAGTGTGTCAAGGCCCCACCCTCAGTCACTGGCTTGTATATTTTGTCCAAAGATTTACACCAACTCCCTAAAGCAGCAAGTGGGAAAGCATATTCAGCAATTAAGAAGGATAGAAGGGTCTTTGGCCACTTGATGAATGGACCAACTGTGGAGAGAAAATAATCGTCATTATCCTCAGTCTGTCTCTCTGCCTCTCTCTTTTGATGTGTTGGCTGAAGTCCAGTTGTTTGGAGTGAGGAGATGTGCCATGTTTACTCGATTTCCCCTCTTTTAAGTCATGGGAGAGCTCCCACAATTTGATCCCAACTCTACGGATCAAACTAGATATGATGGTGGTAGTCATACTGGTTAGTTCGTAGGAATGCAGGAAGCCGTCTTATACCAAGTCAGACAATTGTCTATCGAGTTCAATATGGTCAACACTAACTGGCAGGAACTCTTTAGTGTTTCAGACAAGCCAGTCCCGTTTGGAGTTGCCAAGAACTGAACTTGAGACCTTCTGCACGCAATGGGTGTGCTCTATCGCTAATGGATGGTTCCCCTCCTTCAATCAGACCTGCTGTCAGCACCTGGGAAGATTGGGCAAAAGCTGGGATTGATAGAGAGGGATCTAGAAGGAAAGATGGTGGGTGGCTGCAACTTTCATCAGCGTTTTGCTTTGCAACATACCACACCACCCTGTAGAAATTAGGAAAAGGGACCCCTGTCTGCAGCCCGGTAACCAGCTGCAATCAATAATTTAATGATTCCAACAAAAACAGAAAATAGAGTAGAAATTGCTGCAGTTCACATGTTCATCTGTGGCCAAGAATCATTTTGGTGAATACCACTGGTGTTCGTCTATATTGTTGCTGGGTTTTTTAAAAAGGCCACACATTATAACTAATGTCTTTTGATGTTTCCCTTACATTGAAATGAAATGTAAGTTATGTAAATTACATAGTTATGTAAGTTACATTAAATAGTGGACAGGGAGACAATAAAGTATTTGGTAGAACCTGAAGTGCAGCGGAATGTAAACAGTGTTGACTGTGAAAAATAGAAGTCTGAACGGAAATTGCTACCTTCTTATATTATTAAATATTAACAATAGTAAGTACTATTAATAGAAGAAAAAGGAAGCATTTTCACTTAAAGTTGTTTCCCTTTATAACAGAGGCTGTTAACTTGCATATTCTGGGGTGTGGAGCTCTATTATTCAAATAGGAATATAGGAATATATTTTGTTACACAAACTGATTTCCTCATGGCTAGTTAAGTTCCATAATAAGGTAGCCACGCCTCTAGCAGAAAAAGACCTCTCAGTTGTGAATGCAACCTCATGCCTGCCCAAGAGACCGCATACGAAACCACAAAACAGAGATGGAACATTACAGCATGGAAGCCTCTCATCGCCTGTAACTTTTGGAAAGTAATTTTCTTTTCTGTCAGCAAAACTTCTCAACAGGATTTGATTAACATTGTGTAGGCTTGCCACAGGGAACAGTTATTGGCTTGAAAAGTGGTGGTAGAAATCCATTCTTGCAGGCTGCCAGTTAACCTTCCCTGAGGAAGTCACACTTTCCCAATATGAAGATTCGGCTATTAGAAACGGAGGACTTGTGGCTCACTAAATGGAAATGGCCCTGATTGGTTATTTGAATACTGATGTACATGGGGTGAATTTGCTGAGAGATAAGCATTAATGAGTAATGTTAATTACTTGACATGCATGTATCAACAACAGCCCCACGCTGCCTCTTCAAAGATGTGATCATGCATTGCAGATGTGGCAATCGTAGACACTCGTTCTCAACCGGGAGAATCACAAATAAATTAGGAATGGGAAGGGCCTATATTGAAACAAAGCTTTGTGGCATGTGCTGATCTGCAGGTCTATCTGATGTAGCTGGCAAGACTCAGTACCTTGGCTGAGTCCTTCTTTCACTTCAGTTGTTTTCAGTGGATTACTCTTGATTTTACACAGTGATAAGATTCCCTGCCCTGCTACATCTGCCACACCTGGGATGATTCTGGGAGAGCAGCTTGCTTTGCTCTCTGAGCTGCTGCAGCTGGAAGCAGGAAGTGGCCAACTTTTCAACTAACCCTTGTAACTAAACCTTTAACAGCAGCTTGATCTGTGGATATGCAATGACATCATTTATATCTAGCCCATCAAGCATAGCCTCTAATGGCACAAAGCATAGGACAAGCCATTTTTTTCCTGGTTAGTGGGCATCCCAACTGACTAATGGTTTCAGCTGACAGCAACTGGACTCTGGGCAAGTTTACACATGCATTTTCAACATTTAATGCCTTGCTGGAACTAATACTGAATTAACACATATCATTGTACATTAACAATGAATTAACAGAAAATCTGTATTAGACTAGATGGAAATTATGTGTGGTGACAGGAAGATACTACTTCCCATACTATTTAATGTGCAAATCCCCACTAGGAACGGAAGGACCTGTCCATTTCAGTTGTCTCAGTATTTTCCAATCTTCAGTTCTCCACATTTTGCGCCAAATAGATTAATATATATATATCATGGAAATTCATTAACATTTTAGTACAAATTTATCCCAATAAACACGGCTTTATGTGCAGTTTTAAATAATATATACATTTTTGGAAGCATATTTGTTTGCTGTTTTTACGAATATCTTCCTTTTTATGCACTTTCCCCTTATATGTGCGCTTATATAAGTACTGGTTGGTTGCAGAACTGCATAGCAAAAATCAGATGAGTGTGTTTCAGTTTGCATATTGTTTTGGAAAGTGGAAATTGGATAGATGCGGCTTTAAATATGTACTAAATCAAATTTCTCCTCCATCCCCCGTCACTACTGTAAACAAGCCATGAAAAAGTGTCAAGGACAAGCAGTAGGCAGATGTCAGAGGTGATTCAGAAATCAGGAAGCAGAGTCAGGAAAAGTAATGCAATTAGGTAATTTTAGACTCTGGAATCTGGACTTAATGGTTTTACACTTCTACACTTTATTGTTTTGGACAACAGT